CCTCTGGAGCTAGGTTTGCCGACCCATGGAGCTAGAGCTGAGCACCTTTGGGCCAAGGCTTACTGGTGGATTGGGAGGCCCTGGGCACTTATTGGCAGAGCTAAAAGAGCTTTGTGACACTTCCCTGAGCAGGGCAGAGGCCGAGGGGCCAGAGAGAGACGTGCCTGCGGGCACGGCTGTGAAGAGGTTGTCCTGATGGAAGAACTGTATCCGGAGAGTTCCTAAACCTGAATTGTAACCTTACTTCCCTAATAAACCTCATTATTTTGAGTATTGTCTGTGAGTTCGGTGTGGCCGTTGCAATGAATTATCGGACCCAGCAGGGAATTAGAGAATGCTGTGGGAGGGACAGTTGGTGTCAGAATTGGTAAAGATGGCAGAGAAAGGAGGCATGTCTGACCTCTGCCTCATAGGAATCAGCCTTATGCTGTTGATCTTGATTCTCCTACCCCCTCATGAAGTTAGAGGAGGTCAGATGCCACCACCCCCAAGCCATTTTTACAAATGGATAAACAAAATGTGGCATATCTGTGCAATGGAATTTTATTCAGTCATAAAAAGGAATGAAGTACTGATACAAGCTACAACATGGATGACCCTTGAAAACGTGCTCAGTGAAAGAAGCCAGACACAAAAGTTCACATAGTCTATGACTCCATTTATGTGAAATGTCTAGGATAGATAAATCCATGGAGACAGCAGATTGGTGATTGCCTAGCGCTGGGGGCAGGAGAATGAGGGGGAGTGACTACTAATGGGTATGGGGTTTCTTTTTGGGATGATGACAGTGTTCTGGAACTAGATAGTGGTGATGGCTGCAAAACTCTGTGAATGTACTAAAAACCACCAAATTGTATACTTTAAAAGGATGGATTGTATGGTATGTGGATTATAGCTCAATAAAGCTGTTGATTTTAAAAATAAATAATATGCATGCCATCCTCCTCCCCTGTACCTCTCCTTCTCCAGGCAGTATAAGTTGAACTAGATCTTGCCTAGCAACAGCCATCATCCCCAAATTCTATGCTGCATTTTTGTGATAGCACTTCCTTCCCTTCAAGGCTAATTTAGATGTTCATCAGATTTCTTGAAGAAAACTGCTAAGGGTGAGGGCTGGAGGGAACTCACTGGGTTGTATTTTGACTCCAGGCAAGATCCTACCTATGGTTGATACTGATGAGGGAGTGGCTCAAACCAGAACAGCAAAGTCTTTGTCCTCAGGGAGTTTACGGTGAAAAGAGAAATAAAGCCCAGAGGATATGTGACTGATTTTGCCTTGGATATCTTTGAAGGATTCTAACAGCCCAAGAGGTCCCTAGGTGATACAAACATTTTGGGCTTAACTGCTAACATAAAGGTTGGCGGTTCAAACCTACCCTACGGTACCATGGAAGCAAGGCTTAGCGATCTGCTTCCATTAAGCTTACAGCCAAGAAAACACTATGGAGCAGTTCTAGTCTGTCACATGGGGTGACCATGAGTTGGAATTGACTCAATGGCAACTAACAATAACAGCCCAAACTGAGCATTCTATAGAAGAAGGAAGCCATCCTTCCATCCTAGCTCTGATTCTCTGAGCCTTGTCTATCATTTCCCACCGACCAGTGTTCTTTGACTGGTCTATCAGCTACTTGGTGCACATCTTCTCTTTCCTTCTTCACGTCTTCCCTTGTGGATGTCAGCCACCTCTTACAAATCAGCTCCTGGGAGGCTGATGAGCAGTCTTCCTCAGGCGGCAGTGATTTTGAAGGCTCAAACCTATCCCTGACCCATACATGGTTCAGAGGGCTTCTGAATGCTGATAAAGATGTGGAGAGCTTTTAGACCAAATGGCTTTTAGATCTGTTCTTTGTTCCTTCTGTGTTAGGGTTGGAGGTAGGGTGGGTGAGAGGTCAGATCTTGGGTCTCCCTTTCTTGTAGAACTCTTGTGCTCCCCAGAAAGGTAAGTTGACCCTTGAATAACACTACCTAGCATTCAGGGGGCACCCTAGGGGTATCACTTCAGATGACTAGTCCTTCAGGGATCAGTGCTCTTAATGGGCAAGGGTTTCCCAGGGCCTCAGTGGTCTCATGACTGCCAACATTTCCAGCATCTCTAGTCCTAAGAGGAAAGAGCTGAAGCCTAGAGATTACCTGAGAGAGGAAAGAGTGCTGGACAGAACCAGGGCAAATTCTCAGCTTCTCCCAGCAGGACAAAGGAACAGGGAAATAAGAGACCAGAGGATTTAGTGACCCAAAGCGCCAGAGAGTCCCAGGGCTGAAAAAGGAGAAGCTGGTGATTAAGGGGGATCAGATGGCAGGAAATTTACAGCTCCATACCAGCCATGGGGGGGTCCAAAAAAATATAACAGCAGGGGCTCTGCCCTCAAGGAGCTTATGATAATTTAATTGAGGAATAAAAGTTAATACACTTGAAACAATTTTGTAGTTTGGAGCTAAATTGTATCAACAACAAAATGCAGTAGGAACTCTGAGAAGGGACAGATCATGTGGACTGGCATCCTCTGTTAGCTGAATGAGACAGTGCGTGACCCAAAGGACTTTATGCCTCAGCTATACCAGCTATACTTTTTAGAGATGAGTGTGTCTGAGTCTTGCATAGTTTCACGGAGGAAGTATAGGGGAGGAAGCTTCATCTTCATCACCATTAACAATAAACATTATTTGATCATCCCTCCCTCACAGAGAGGGCAAACACAGAAAGAGCTAAAGGACCAGTACAAGAGAGCATGTGCCAGTAGCACAAAGACAGAGAAAAGTGTGGGTTGGGGAGGTGAGAGAAGGCTTCTTGGAAATGGTAGTACTTGAGCTGCCTCTTGGAGAAAGGTTAAAAAAAAATAGTTGTCGTCAAGTCCACCCCAACTCATGGCAACCCCATGTGAGTTAGAGAAGAACCGTGCTCTATAGGGTTTTCATTGGCTGGTTTTTTGGAAGCAGATTGTCAGGCCTTTCTTCCAAGGTGCTACTGGGTAGACTTGAACCTCCAACCTTTTCACCACCCAGGGACTCCAAAGGAAGTTGAAGGTTTGCATTAATGGGGAAAAGGGTGAAGGGGGCTGTAAACGACATCAACAAGACATAGAGGTGGGAGTAAGCAAGGAAAATATGGTAGGTGAGAAAACCTGCCGGACCGGAGGAAAGGGTGTGTGTGTGGTAGGGTAGCGTAGGCGATAAAGTTGGAGAAAGAAGTAGTGTGGTGTCAGATTAGAGAGGGCCTTTGATGGCAGACAGAAGGAGTTGTTTTGGAATAAAATAGGTATTGTAGATTTGTGTATTTGGGGAATAAGGAGGGCATGGGGAAGCAGGAGGAAAAGCTTAGAAAACTGCTGGGATTCTACATTCTTCCTAGGTTGACACTCCCATATTAGGGTGACCAACCATCCCGGTTTGCCTGGGACATGGGGGGATGAGTTTGTAAGCCTACCTGAGATCCACCTTGAGAACATGTTCCTAAAGCAGCCCCAAGAGGTTCTGCATCGAATACTGGTGTTAGAGAGCCTGGTCCCAGTTGGAAGGCCCAAATCAATCAACACTTTGTGCAGTGTTCTCAGATCGATAGTCTTGACCTCCCTCATGAAACTGAACAGAAGAAGGACCAGCCTTCTAGTCCAGCTGCTAACACAGGCCCAGACCAAGATGGGGAATCAGCTTCAGAAGGCAACAACGTTTAGATACTGAATCTGTTCTGGAATCAGCCCTGGGGAAAGGAGAAAGCAGGTGCAGGAAAGTTAACAAACAACACAGTAACAACACGAAGGCTTTCTTCAGGCCAACCCTCTTCCCCTGGCCCTCATTTTGGTGGCTGCTACTTGACCACTCCTCGCATAGATTTTTTACAGACTTCCTGCAGCAAAAGGCAGTTGGCACAGGCTCTGCTACATTTATATTATTACCAGAAGGCAGATGTTTTCTCTTTTTCTCTGGGGTTTAGAATTATGCAAATGAAGGCAGGCAAACAAAAGCTCAGTGAGCTGGGGGAGGGTTGCTCTTCAGAATCCAGGCGATTTTCACATCTCTTTAAGACACCCCTCTCAGTTTTTACTAACAGCCCTCTTGGCTCGTGGCCGGTCTGTAGGATTTGGCACCTCTTCAGAACCTTTCAGCCAGAGACCTGTAAGTTCATTCTAAAGCCCTTATCCTGGCCTCACTTTGCAATTGAATTCAAGGCATATAATATGAGCTTTGGTATCCGTGGGCTGACCTTGAATCTTGACACGTACAGACACACACACACACCCCTCCATTCTGTCGCCCCTTTTCTGTGCACAATCTTGCCTCGAAAGGAAACTCTACGGCCCGCTTGTCTCCCAGCCAACCCCGCCCCCCAGACATATTATCTGGAGGGCAGTAGGACCTAGGGAGCTTCAACCATGTGGCCAAGGCAGACACACCTGCCTAACCGCGTGGGTTGAACCAGTGTGGGAGCCAGCCAGTTAGCAAGTTAGGGAGGGTGGGGTAGGAGTGGGAGGCTGCTGCTCTTGCGGAACAGGAGTGTTGAGGCTCCCTTCAGGGTCAGGGGGTCGTGATGAGAAGTGCCTCTGAGGAGTGGCCCAAGCCCCTTTTTGTCGCGCCTCTCCACTCGGAGCATCCTTCGGTTGGCCACCCTGGAAAGCTCAGAATAGTTTTGTTTGGCCCCAGCTGTCCCTGCCATCTCGCCCGCCTCTGCCATCCTGGTGCCTTAGTTTCTGCTGTGGCCTCTCTTGGCTGGAACTGCGGGCCAAGCAGGACCCCGGCAGCAGACGGTGCTCAAGAGTTTGGGGTCATTTGCCCGGCCGGGTTGAGCGCTCCGCACGTTGTAACTCTCACTGACAAAGTTTCTGTGTGAAGGAGCAGCCTTGCCTAGATCCTGGAGCGCTCGAGCACTTTGCCTCTCCCTCTCTTCGAAGACTGCGCTTGGGGACGCGGCTCTGGCACTGCTCCTACCCCTGGCCCGGCTGCTCGGGGGCGGGGCTTGGGGAACCAGAGCAGCCTTCCGGAGAGCCCTCAACTCCGCTTGGATCCTGAGCGAGCGCCAGAGAGCAGGCAAGCAGGCGAGCGAATAGCCACAGCCTAGCTATAGCTAGGGTCCTTCGGCTCTGAACTGAATCCTCAAAAGGGACGCTAATCCTGCGCCCTCTCTTCTGCCCTGGCTCTGTTCTCGGCTAACTTGAGACTGCACACTGGTCAGGACTCCTCGCAAGGAGGTGCTGAGCGTTGGTGCCCCCACAGAGTGGTCACCCACCTGCTGTGGGGGGCTGCCGGGCGGGGGAGCTGTTTCCATGACTCTTTTCCGCGTATCTGGAGTTGAACTCCGGACTGAGGGCTGGGATGCTTGCTTTTGCCTTGTCCAAGTTTCACAGCACGTATGTTGACGATTGGAATCCTGGGCCAATCAAGAGTCAAGCTCAAAGTGGTACTCCAGGGCTCTCGATTCTAGACTCCAACAGGTCTAATTTGAGACTAGAAGAGAGGGGCCTCCTGCTCCGACTAGTCGATCTCCATTCCAGAACTGGACTTGACCGAGCCCTCCTCACTGATACTTGGACTGCAGCGGCTACAGAGTGCTCTTGAGTGGAGGGGTGTGTGTGTGCTCTGAAGACCAGACCCCAACACTCAAAACCTCGAGGATGGACAGAGTTTATGAAATTGCCGAGGAGCCAAATGTGGATCAGGTTTCACCTCTGGGGGAAGATGTCATCCGTGGGACGAACCCCCGCTTTACTTTCCCGTTTGGCATCCTCTTCTCCACCTTTCTGTACTGCGGGGAGGCTGCATCCGCCTTGTATATGGTTAGAATTTATAGAAAGAATAATGAAACCTACTGGATGGCATACACCTTTTCCTTCTTTATGTTTTCATCCATTATGGTACAGTTGACTCTCATTTTTGTCCACAGAGATCTGGCTAAAGATAAGCCTCTGTCATTGTTTATGCATCTAATCCTCTTGGGACCTGTTATGAGGTGAGCAGTTTTTAATCTCTTCCTGTACCCCTAGAATTGTGCAGAGAAAAATGAAGCTAATATTTATGAGACTAATATCCTGTGCTTCTGATTTAATCAATTCTCCTATTCCCTCCCACTCTTGGCTTTCCTGCCTACCATCCAAAAAATCTTATCTGAAATCCCAAATGCCACCATGATGAACATGTGGCCTGTATCTGTATTCCAAAACTATGTGTGATACCATCGATAATACTTCATTAGACAGTGTTTGCTATCTAGATTTAGGTTGTGAAAACTGGTATGGGAATGACTTAGTCACGCTGTGCACACAGGCCATAGCTTCAGAGTGTGTTATTTTGACCCTGCCCTTTAGGTACTCTGTAAATTGGATGAAAATTCCTTCCTGTCTCTATCCCATCCCACATTCAGTTTCTTTACCCTGAGCTTCTTGCTCTGGTGCTGCTGCCATTTTCATGTTTTTCAGAGTTATTTGACATCTAGAAAGTATTTTAAGCCAGCTGTGGTAATCTGGTGCCCCAGTCTGTTGTAGTTCATTTTTCTCTGTCAGTTCAGCAGTCTCCTGTTTATCCCTGTGAATCTTTCTTCAATAAAAGTACACCATTAAGGGGCAAAGGAAAATGGTCCATCCCTCCATCCTCCATCCAGATACATGTAATACGGATACATATAATAGTATCAAGTCTTTCCATTCAGATTGACTTGAAGGGACTAGAATGTGCTTTATCGTAGGGAGATAGACATCTGTGTCAGCAGTCTCATTTGGATGCTTTAGAGTTTTCAAAGTAGGGAGATGTTGCAAAACTTATGAGGTCAGGAGGGAGGAATGGACCAAGTATGTCTTGATTGAAAGAGAGGCAGAAACCTGCAATCAGCTGAGGAATATGGGTGAGAGTGTTGATGTTGTAATTGTGATGGGAAGAGATTTCATCCTTAAAGAACTACAGTTTGTGAAATGGATTAAGGATGGAATCCCCCTTTAAAAGATTATCAATATATTTTTAAACAGGGAGGAATTTATTAGGTTTCATCAGAGAAAATATAGATAACAATGGAAACAGTGGCCAGGAATTCAGGAGATGTAGATTCTAGCTATCCCTCTGTCATTAACTAGTTGCGTGACCTTGGTGAAATTTCTTAAGATGCCTGGGCCTTAGTTCCCACATCTGTAAAATAAATGGGTTGGGCTAGATCATGGGCCTCAAACTCAAGTGCTTGCAGGGGCCAAGCAGGTATCATAAATGAGAGAAGCAGACCAAGTGTAAGGAAAACAGTAACTTCATGTGTGACGATAAATGAAAACTACAGTAAGTCTCAGTGTTAGAGAAATGGCGGGGAATAGTGAGTACTGTGGAATCTGGAGATTTGTCTAAAGGAGGCAGCTGCCCTATAGCTCCAGCCCAACGCTTCCATTTTGGAATTTGGGCCCAGTATTGCCAGATCCCCCAACTTTTCAGGAGAAGCCCCTAAAACAGACTTTTATATGTGATGCCCTGATTGTACATTTTGGCACCTGATTAATTAAAACAAACACTGTATGGGCCAAACCACATTTGTGGGGCAGTTGTGACTCACCTGGCCTATATGCAACATTTGGGTTAGTTGATCTAAAGGTCCTTTCCAGTTCCAAATCTTTGAAGTTAAGCTGTAAAAGGAAGACCTCATTTTGAACTTGGAACTAAGAAATTTAGAGGTGTCACTAGAGGAGCAAGACGCTTAACAAACCATTCCTCTCTCCCTTTTCAAATGCAATACACTGAGTTCCATGATCAAGCGTTCTCAAGATGCAAAATTCAGCAAAGACTGACCTCCCCAGCCGCAGTTTTGACTTCCCTTGTTTGCTTTGTGGCCTCTCAAGCGGTCTTTAATTTGGGCTTTCTGAATGGAGTGTTGAGTGCTGTATTTCATTTTTGTGATTCAGCTTCCACTAAAAAATTATTGGGAGGCATTTATCACCTCAGTCAGCTAACCTCACAACAGGGAGAAAAATCATTAAAAACTGATACATTAAACCCTTGATAGGCTTATTTTCAAGGCCAGTGGTTTTGTAGGTAGGTAGGAACTTGATGAATGCTATCGGACACATGAAGGTGTTTGGAGTTTCTGGCTCCTTTATATGAAACGTGAACATATTTCTGAAAATGAAAATTTAATGTACTGAAACTTATAAGCAAGGCAGACACCTTTACATAAACCAGTAAATGTTGTTGGGTGCCTTCAAGTCGATTCTGATTCATAGTGACCCCACGTGACAGAGTAGAACTGCCCCATAGGGTTTTCTAGGCTGCAATCTTTACGAAAGCAGATCACCAGGTCTTTCTCCCACAGAGCTACCGGGTGGGTTCAAACCACAGACCTCTTGGTTAGCAGCTGGACACTTAACCATTGTGCCACCAGGGCTCCTTAATTCAGTAAATAGCCTTAAGAATAGAAGCATAAACAGAAGTGTTCATACCACTGCCTCCCCCAATATTTTATTCAGCAACAGCATTGATGGGCTTAGGTTAAAATATAAAATTATTTGTTGAAAATGCACTTGTGCATTTTCCCTGAATAGGAAGAGAGTGTCCATTTTTCCACTCTGTTCTCTCCTTCCATCTTTTGCTCTCCCAGGTTTTACAGTTTGGCCCTAGAAAGTGCAAGTTTCAAACAGCATGCTTCAGAGTGGTACACATGCACCATTCTCAGATGGATCCAATGGATATTGGTAGCCAGCATGTGTTCAAACCCTTCTCACTGGGAGACAAAGCCTAGAGAGCACATAAATCTATGAGCCTGTTTTTGGCTTATTTTTCTGTTATATCGCATCGCCGTTATTATCATCCTCGCCTCCCTGTATTCTTCTCACACTTTCATTCGCTCAGCAAATATTTATCAAATACCCACTATGCGATAAGGGCTGTGAGCAAGATAAACACAACCCCTGCCCTCAGTCTACCAGGGAAGATGTCTTAATTTTCACCACAAGTGTTATTACTTGTCATGAGAAATGATCCACAGTTTCCATTCATTTCAGAGTGAGTGGGGGAAGTGGTAACTCAGGTGTTCCAAAATAAGATGTTCTCGTTGCTTCTCTTCTATTCACCATGTTAGAACTGCTAAAGACTTCTGATTTGTGTGGGGGAGATGGGAGGGGTACAGCAGGAAATGTGTTTTTTTCACATTTCAAGGATGGTAGGCTCTCATAAGGATGTTGTCCTCTTTGTAAAGAAAGAATCAAGTTTAAAAGGCTGTAGTCCCCAAACAGGCGAAGAGGCATAAAAAGCCACCTTTAGAGAGACCTTTTGAGATTCCCTAGATATGTAGTACATTTGGTTCTGGGTTGTCAAGTCATTAAGTACCCTTGCTGCTAAATGGCTTTTCTGTGGATATGTGAGGTTTTTTCCTACCCCTCTCCCCCTACACTGGAGACTTTTTGGCTGAGACAATTATAGTTGTGGGCTCTGTCTTGAAAAAGCAGAAGTTGAAAAATCTCAATTCTGGATATGAATGCTTTGAATAAGAAACACTTCACCTCAGGACCTGAGGTGTTACAAAAACCAGGGCATTTCGGTACCTTCATCATTGTCTCTCAACACAGAACACAGTATGTACTTAATAGCTTTTTCTTCAAGGCACTTCGTATCACAGTCCTGAAAGAAGTACTTCTGAAATGGTGTTCTAGTGGACCAAAATAGGATTTAGACTCAAGTAACGTGTAGAAGGCACTACCAACCCTTTGATTCATGAGAAATGTGCAGGACAGGAGAGTAGGAATGGCAAAAAGTAGCACAACTTTCCGGAGTTATTTTTTCCCCTCACTACAGTCTCCCTTCCCAAGACAGCTTCAGTTAAGTTCCCATGATGCTTTACTTCTGCAGATGTTTGGAGGCCATGATTAAGTACCTCACACTGTGGAAGAAAGAGGGGCAAGAGGAGCCCTATGTCAGCCTCACCCGAAAGAAGATGCTAATAAATGGCGAGGAGGTGCTGATAGAATGGGAGGTGGGCCATTCCATCCGGACCCTGGCTATGCACCGCAATGCCTACAAACGTATGTCACAGATCCAAGCCTTCCTGGGCTCAGTGCCCCAGCTGACCTATCAGCTCTATGTGACCCTGATCTCTGCGGAGGTCCCCCTGGGTAGAGGTGAGTGGGGTCAAGTGAGGGGAGGGCTGCACTAAAATCAAGGGTCTTAGAAGTCTAGACTGGAGCTCTTCAATACACTGGCCACTAGCTTTATATGGCTATTTAAATTAAAATTTACAATTCACTTCCTCAGTCACACTAACCACATTTCAAGTGCTGAATAGCTACATGTGGCTAGTGGCTACTGTATTGGACAGTGCAAATATAGAACATTTTCACCACCACAGAAAGTTCTATTGGACAGTGCTGGGAGATAGCTACAGAACTTTGGCGAGTCAGACATTTCAAGCCTGCCAGGTTTCTTAAGCTGGGGTAAGAAAGACTAAAAATGCCACAGAAACTTTCTGTGGGCCCAGAGGAAGCTAGTATTACCAACAGTCAGTAGGCTGTTTTCCCTTGCCCAGAGTGTTTAGATTACGCTGAGTTAGAGTTTTTTGTTTGTTTGTTTAGGGATTGGAAGTCTTTACGTAAGAGATTGCCAAATATTACTGATCATCAGAATCATGTGATAAGCTTCTTTGAAAACTTAAATTCCCTCCACAGACCTCAGTCAATCCCAGGGTGTAGGGAGGCCAGGAATCTGATTTTTTTTAAGTACCCCAGTTGATTCTGATCAGTCACATTTGGGAACCGCTGATTTAATCACTTCTCCTAGAAGAAAGGCCTGGCAATCTATTTCCGAAAGATCAGCCATTAAAAATCCTATTGAGCACAGCTCTCCTCTGACACACATGGGGTCACAATGAGTCGGAATTGACTCAAAGGCAAAAGACTCAATGGTTTTTTTTCCCCCCAACTCCATGGGAGCGGGGAGAAAAGGGGTGTGAAACGAATATTGATGAGAGTCAGGCCTGGTCCCCTTTCTGACCTTCTCTGTGATCCTTGGAGGAAGTTACCAAAGCATTCCCTGCCTTAATTTCCCACTTGTAAAAAAGGAATCCTGAGATGAATAAGACTTCTAGCTCAGGATGAAATGTGAGTCAGTGTTTTCAAAGTGGAGATAAAGTGCTGTTAATGAGTTTTAGCAGCATAAGATTAGCTGCATCTGCTTGGGCTGCAGCTGGTACAAATGTGGGTACAGCTTTGGACCCTTTCTTTATTAGGTGTTGACCCTGCTTGGTAAGACCTCATACCTCAAATAAATATAAGGAGGAAATTTGCCCTTTTTTCTCGACTAAGAATTGTTCAGGAAATTCTATTGCTCTTGAAGATTTTCACATACCTAGAAATGATGGTGGTTTTCCTCCTGAGAATTTTGAGGGTCATCAAATCACCTAGTTAAAATATGTATACATCACAAAAGTAACACATGCACAAACTGATTGACCTGCAGGAAACTGTATATGCACAGAAAATATCTAGAAAGATATGCAAGAATCTATTTACCTCTGAGGATAGGAATGAGAAATCAGCAGACTTTTACTTTTTATTTTATATCCTTCTGTATGGTTTGAAATTTCTACCATGCATGGATTCAGTATATACACATTCAGTGTATATCCTTCCAGACTTCTTTTTACTATGTAAATATAAACATACCCATATATATGTGTATGTATTTTTGCCCCCCAAAATGGACTGTATTAAACATTCTATTCAGCAACATGTCTTTTTCAAATGTCTGACAGTATATCTTTCTTCAATGGTTATTTATATATTTATATAAAAAAACCCATTGCCATTGAGTCGATTCTGACTCATAGTGACCCTGTGGGACAGGGTTTCCAAGGAGCGGCTGGTGGATTCAAACTGCCGACCTTTTGGTTAGCAGCCGAGCTCTTAACCACTGTGCCAGCATATAGAATATATAATAATAATAAATATATATAATATGTATTTTCCTTATATGAATTGGATTATTCTTAGTTCCCTAATTCTCTATTGGTAGGATTAACGTTTGTTTCTAATTTTTCACACACAAAGAGTTTATTTCTAATTACAAACTGTGCTACAGTGAACATCTTTTAAATATCTGTGTACTTGAATGAGACTTTGTAGGATAAATTAGTAAAATTGCTGAGTTGCAGGATATGCATATTTTGAATTTTGATAGATACTGCCAAATAACTTTCCCAAAAGGTTTTGTGAATCTATACTCCCGCCAACAGCGTGTGAATGCGCCTGTTTTCCCGTATCTTAAACTAAATATTATTTAGTTGTGTAATTGTAAAATAACTGGTTGTTTTAATTTGTTCTCTTTAATTATGAGTGAAGCTGAGCATCTTTTCATGTTTGGGCATTGTGTGGGTCCTGTGAATTGCTTCTTTATGTATTTTACTCACTTTTTTCCAGTGGGTTGTTTGTCTTCTTATTAATTTGTAGGAACTATTTACTTATTTTGGACGTTAATCCTTTCTCTGCTGTGGATGAGTGTGTATGTATACATTTGTATTATGTTTGTGTGTATGTATATATTTATACAGATGCACACACACACACATACATAGCATACACATATATTTTAAATGTGTGTATACATGGAGCCCTGGTGGTGAAGTGGTTAAGAGCTTGGCTGCTAACCAAAAGGTCGGCAGTTTGAATCCACCAGCTGCTCCTGGGAAACCCTATGGAGCAGTTCTGCTCTGTCTTATAGGGTCACTATGAGTTGAAATCGACTTGACGGCAATGGGTTTGTTTTTTGTTTTTTGTATACATGTTATACATGTGACATATGACACACTTGTACAACGCACCATACATAATATTCTTTATTTATAGTATCTTCTAAAATTCTGAAGTATTAAATTTTTATGTAGTCATATCCTTTATTGCTTTTAGGTCTTGTGCCTTTCTTACAAAGGCCTTTCACAACTCGTAACTTTTTTTTTTTATTGATATAATTAAATGAAGTTTACATTTCAAGTTAGTCTCCCATACAGAATTTTTTTTTAACATACATTGTTATGAGACCCCAACTGCTCACCCCATTCTGCAACAGCAC